AATGCCGAAAGCCCGTTTCGGGCCGGTGGCGACAGGTGCTGGCGAGCTTTGATAGGAGATCAGCTTGGGCATTTTGTTCTCGCAGTACGTGTTGTATAGTGAACTCGTCGAAAGACGAGATTTGTTGTGATGTCGTGTGAAAGTACCATTGTAGGAGGACGTCCTTGGCCTGGTATGTTCCGCTGAGTTGCTCTACCATGAGCTTCGAGTCGCTGTTGCAACTAACTCTCCGAGCCCCGAGGTCGCGAGCCAACCTTAGGCCTGCTAGCAGTGCCTCATACTCCGCCTGGTTGTTGGTCACCTTGAAGCTGAACTTAAGGGATTGCTCCAAAGTGACTTGGTTTGGTCCTTCCACCATGATACCTGCACCACCACCCTTAGAGTTGGAGGACCCGTCAACGTGTAAAGTCCATACTTGTGGTTCCTCGGCAGAAGTGGGCGTGAGCTCGGCTACGAAGTCGGCCAGGCATTTGAGCTTTCAGGGCGCCACGACTTTCGTACTAGATGCCGAACTCGGACAACTCGACCGACCATGCAATCATTCATCCGGCGAGCTCTGGCTTTCTCAGGATTTGCTTTATGGGGTAGTCAGTTTTGACTATCACCTGGTGGCTCTGGAAGTAAGGTCGGAGATGCCGAGCTGCGGTGATGAGTGTCAGTGCCAACTTTTCGATCATTTGGTACCGTTTCTTCGCATCTTGGAGGACTCGGCTGATGAAGTAGATCGACGTCTTCACTTTATGATGTTCTTGCACTATCACTGCACTGATGGCATTTTCTGCTATAGCCAAGTGAAGGAGGAGGTCAGTTTTGTGATCCGGCCTCTATAGGATTGGCGGAGTCGTGAGAAAGGTTTTGAAACTTCAGAAAGTTTCCTCGCACTGTTCCGTCCACTGGAAGTCTTTTGGCTTCCGTAGTAGAGTGAAGATTGGCCCTGCCTTCTCCGCGAGGCTGGGGATGAAACGAGACAGTGAGACTAACCTTCCGGCTAGGCGTTGGAATTTTTTCACCGTTTGAGGACTCTGCATCTGGATGATGGCTTTGCACTTCTCAGGGTTGGCCACGATTCCTCTGCTAGTGATCATGAAACCGAGGAACTTACCTCCCTGGACGCCGAAGACACATTTCTCCGGGTTGAGACGCATGTTGTGTCTCCTGATTTGGCTGAACACCTCGACGAGGTCGGCAGCATGGTCCGCGGCTGAGGTGGTTTTGACCACCATGTCGTCAACGTAGACCTCCATATTCCGGCCAATCTGCTGGTGGAAAACCTTGTCTATCAGTCGCTGGTAAGTGGCACCCGCGTTCTTGAGACCGAAGGGCATCACTCGATAGCAGTAATTAGAGTGATTAGTGATGAATGACGTGTGCACCTCGTCTGGTGGGTACATGATGATTAGGTTGTACCTGGAGTAAGCATCGAGGAAACTGAGGAGGGCGTGCCCGGATGCTCCATCGATCAGCCTGTCGATGCTCGGCAAGGGGTATGAGTCCTTGGGGCATGCCTTGTTCAAGTCGGTATAGTCGACGCACATTCGCCATTTCCCCGAGCTCTTTTTTACCAACACCACATTTTCCAGCCATGTGGTGTACCTAACCTCATGAATGAAGCCGACGTTCAGCAACTTTTGTGTCTCGGTGATGATGGCCTCCCGCCTTTCACCACCGACCTTCCTCTTCCTCTAGGCCACTGGCCTTGCCTCCTTGTGTATCGCTAACCTGCGACAGATGAAGTCAGCGTTTATACCTAGCATGTCGACACTGGACCAAGCAAAGAGGTTGGTGTTCTTGAGGATCTCAGCTTCGATCTGTTGCCGCAACTCCGGGCTTAACTGCTTGTTGATTTTTGTGCACTACTCGGGGAGTTTCCCAATCTGGAGGTCATCGAGCTCGTCAATGGGACTTGGCCGTTCATCATGGGAGTCGGACCTCGGATCGAGGTCAGCGATCTCCACGTGGGTGATGTGAGCCACCGTAGGGGGGTCGCTCTTGCACTGCTCGCTGGGTTGGGAGATTTTCAGGCTCTCGGTGTAGCATTGCCGAGCTATTTTTTGGTTTACCTTGACGAAAATAATCTTCCCACCACTCCCCGGGAATTTCATGGTGAGGTGTGGAGTAGACACCACTGCTCCGAGTTGATTCAAGGTTGGTCTCCCTATGATTATGTTATAGGAGGTGTTGGCTTCCACGAGGAGGTATCGGACCATGATCCGCCTTGTGTCTGGAGAGGTCCCGAAAGTAGTCAGCAAATCCACGTATTCCCGAGTGTGTACTCGTTCTCCTGCAAAACTAACTAGGGGCTCTATGTGAGGTTGGATGAGAGAGTGAGAGATGTCTAACCTGAGGAAGGTCGGCCAATACAGGACGTCAGCCGAGCTCCCTTGTTCTATCAGTGTCTTGTGAACCTCCCACCTAGCTACCTTTACGGCTATGACCATGGGGTCATCCTGGTTGGGGCTGACGCCAGCATAGTCGTCATGGTGAAGGTTATGGGCGGTGAGCTTTGGTGCGAGGCCGAGGTAGTGGAGTGGATGCCGTTGATATTGCGCAGGTGCCTCTTCCGGGCTAAGCTGCTGGCGCCTCCCCCTGCGAAACCACTTGCAATTGTGTTGATTACTCCCCGTAGGTGGGCCGATCCTGTTTCCTGCCTTACCTCGGCTTGCACTGCTCCACTGTCGTTTTGCTGAGAACCATAGGGTTGGTCCGTGCGAGTTCCCGAACTGCAGCCTCTACCTCGTCCTCGTCCACCAAAGCCTCCTCAGTGACCCTGCTGTCGTTGGACATTGGCCGAGGTGGCCCTCTTGAATGAGCTCCTCAATGCGGTCTCAGAGTGTGCGACACTCCTTAGTGGTGTGATCGTGGTTTCTGTAATATCAGCAGTGCTTCGACTTGTCCGCACTGTTGGGAGTGTGACCTAGCGGTGGTAGGGTTAGTAGGTTGCTGTTACTGGCCTCCTCCAGGATGTGAACTCTA